TATTTTTATTTTATGTGTATGTGTGTATTGCCTGCATGTAGGTGAGTGCACCCATATAGTGCAATGCCCACGGAGGACAGAAGAGGCCGTTGGATCCCCTGGAACTGGAGTTACGGACAGTTGTTAGCTGCCATGTGGATGCTGGGATTCGAACCCGGGTCTTATGCGAGAAAAACCAGCGTTCTTAACTGCTGAGCCATCTCTCCAGCCACCCCCCCATATTTTTTTTTTAAGGCAAGGTCTTTCATTGGTTTGAGACTCATCAAGCAGGCCAGGCTGGATGACCAGAGAGCTCCAGGGATCCATGTGTCTCCACCTGTCCCAGCACTGGGATTAGGAGAGCATGCCACTAACTCGGAGCTTTTTTTGAGGATTCTGGGAATAGAACTTTAGCCATAGTCCCAGCTCAAAGTGAGTTTCTTAAATCTCAGTTATTTGTATGCCAATTTGGTTTTCCCCTAGGAAAAATTTTCACTTTTTACTTAATACTTTTTCTTAAACAGAGTTTCTTCTGGACACATGTAGTGCAAAATAACAATTTAAATCATAACTTTGATGCGCGAGTTCTGTGTTTCCCAATACATGTTAAACACAGAGTTTTTAAATGGAAACTGTCCGTCTGGGTTGCCTGTGATCACCTGGCTTGCCTTTTGGGTAACCTGTTTATGCTTCCCCTCTCTGCCTTCCTACCCTGTCCCTGTCCCCTGGTCCTACCTTGTCTTCTCTAGGAAGCTCTGGGCAGCTCCTTCAGCCTCTGTCTCTGAGCTCCCTTCATGTTTACAGACAGAATTACACATCCTAGTGTTGCACACTTACGTGCCTTTGGTTTTGTTTTGTTTCTCATCATGGGATTATGACATAATCTTACACTATAGATAAAAATGACATTAAAATGTTCAATCCCCTTGGTTTTCAGGCCATTAAAGAGATTAAGGGGCTTGTTCTGAGTCACTGATAATTATGGGCTAAGCCAAATCCAGAACTTGGACCTTGCCATTCTTTGCTGTCAGTGGGGAACCCATGAGCAAGTGCTTCCTAGACCTCTGTCAAGTTCCTGGCATTGTGCCAGACACAGGGGAGTATAAGGAATAGAGAGGTCTCAGACCTTGCCCATGCAGAACTCAGGAGGATTAAATCATTGCAAATATTCAAGTGTCTGGGAGAAGAGGGGGGTGAATAGGGATTTGACCTAGTTTGGAGGGTCACAAAATGTGATTAAGGAAGTGTGCTCAGAAGGCACAGGAGCTCACAGAGAAGGAGGTAGCGCCAGGCTAACTCATAATCCAAGTATTGACAACTCTGCTTTATGGGTGAATTAGGTCACGGTGGCCCCGCCTGCTTGCCACCACACTCTGGGAAGACAGCCAGACAGCTCAGAGACTCCTGTGATTTGGAAGCCAGGTCCTTTCCACACTTCATTCAGCAGGAAGCAGGCAGGAGGCCCTGGCAGGCATGCTCTGTTGGAGCCCCTCAACTCTCTCTTGGCATCTTGGATATATTGATTGTTTTAACCAAAGGCGTGCTTATGATATGGGCTTTGACATTTAAAAGGTTCTTAGTTTCTGGATGTGGAAAATTTACTGTTATTTGTGAGACATACTGTGACGCCTCAGTAGTTCACCGACTTGGTAAAATGCAGATTCTTTCTGTCCCTGTTACCATGACATCCAGCTTATCTACACATTTCTTGTGATAATCAAATGAGATAACCTGTGTTTAAGAAGCTCTGGCTACATTCTGCCTTCCTCTTAGATGAGCCGGTACAAGCCAGGTGTTGTGCAGGGAAGTGGACAAGGGATGTGTTCAGACTGAGAACCTTGAGCTTTGATCTCTGGTTCTGTCTCTCACTAGCCTGGGGAATTGCTTCATGGTTTTTAAAAAATTTTTTTATTTATTATTTTTATTTTATGTGTATGCGTGTATTGCCTGCATGTAGGTAAGTGCAACTGTGTTGTGCAATGCCCGCAGAGGTCAGAAGAGGCTGTCGGATCCCCTGGGACTGGAGTTATGGACAGTTGTTAGCTGCCATGTGGGTGCTGGGATTTGAACCCGGGCCTTCTGCAAGAACAACCAGTGTTCTTAACCGCTGAGCCATCTCTCCAGCCTTTGCTTCATGTTTTAGAGCCTCTGTTTATGCATCTGTGAAATGGGGATAATAACAATCCCTATGCCTTGTCAGATTCTTAAGGCATTAAATGGGAATATATGTGAGAACCCCTTCATCAGATCTAAAGTGCTACAACATGTCGCTTGAAAATTAACGTCCTGTATAAGGCACAAACTTAGACTCAAAGAGAGACAAGGTCAAGGCCAGAACAAAGGTCTCCAGATTCCTGGTTTTCTTTCCCTAGATTTTTCACTGGGGTCTGCCTTCTGGTAGAGCAATTGCTGCCAAGAGTGAGTTCCTGGGGAAATGAATACTGCTGAGAGGGAGAGGAAGGGAGCAGAGCAGAGGGTCCTCCTGTCAGGGGCAGAGAGTGGGCAGGAGAAGGGGAACCAGTAAGAACCAACTCTCCTGCCTCTTCAGGTGCTGAAGAGCTCTCGGGTTAGGTTTTCTAGGGTCAGGGTTGTCTACTGTCCCTTCTCCCCTCTCTCAGTGTGCTTGAAACTCACCTGGCATGAAGTAACCTGCCTTTAAAAAAGTACATTTGAGAACAATGTCAGTCTTTAATGATCAGTTTTCTGTTCCTTGGCATTTTCCTTTCAAGCAAAGGCCATGTTTTTACAAGGTACTGCATTTCAGTGAGGCTCTTCTTCCTGCCCCGTCAACTATTCCTGTCTAGTCAGTTTTAGGAGGTGGTCCAGTTTCTTGATGCTGGTGTCCAATAACCTTGGAGTATCTATCTGTCTATCTATCTATCTATCTATCTATCTATCTATCTATCTATCTGTCTGTCTGTCTGTCTGTCTGTCTGTCTGTCTATCTATCTATCTATCTATCTAT